GTCTTACTTTTGCAGTCCCTTACTTTGGCTAATGTTAGCAATGACACCAAAGTGAGCTTGGACTCAGTCCCAGAGGTCTTCCCCCAACAATTTAGTAAATCCTTCCCGTACTTGGACATTTGAAGAGAGGCTTTTGAATTTCTGGTCTCTTCAAACCCAACTTCAGTTTCAGAAAGGTAGGATTATGTCATAGGAAAATCTGGTTTCTCTTCCTTTGCAAACACTGCTGTTGAGGATTTGTCTGGCAGCTCTGCCGTGGCCTGTTCTGCACATGCTCCCTTAACACTCTGATCATCAGCGGCGCAATTGACTCTCTGCCTCTCTGAGAGATACCTTCTTATTTATAATATCTTTCACTTACCACATACATTTTCTCTTCTATTGTCAAGCAGGATTTGATTTACAAAACATTAGAGGTTCTTTCTCTATAAAACAGAGATTCTTTCTCTGGCAATTTTCAACAGGATGCCAATGAGGTAGGTTGGTCATGAACAGCAACAGAATTGTTTGGAAGAGAAGGTTCTTCCAAGCACATTTGAAACACTCTTTTGACAAACTGACGAAATTATAGGCTGTTAATGCTACAAGGCTGTGCATGTATACAGAAGTGTCAAATGTCTCTCCTCTGGGGCCTGCTGACAAGGAGCAGAAGTGTGGACAAAGAGCCTCAAGTTCAAAGGTTGTTCTAGGCTAGGAACTTAGCTGGTAAACCATTTACCCATCACTGTTTCCAAATCCAATCATAGTTCTGTCTTTCTGTTGTCCTCTTAAATAAAAAAAAAAAAGAAAGAAAAAAAAATCAAACCAAACCAAACAAAAAAACCCAAAATCAAACCCCCCAAAAACAAAAAAGCAAAAAAAAAAGAAAAAAAAAAGAAAAAAAAGTGTGGCTACAAACTGTTGTTGATTGACCAAATTTCTAACAAGAAAGAAATTGAAAAATATTATACAAACCAGTTCACAGAGAATGTATTTAACTTGCACAAAATTGGAGATGATACCTGTATCTTCAAATCTAAAATTTCTTACTCTGTAGTTCACACACAGTCAAGAAAATTTGATTCTAATTGGTCTCCTCCTATTCTTCCTCTAAATATTCTTGAATATTTTATACGAAGTGGAGCTTTTTTATTAGCAATAGGTAGGAAAAAATGGCTGTTGTATAGCTGAGATTCAACGCTCATTCAGTGCATTTAATTTTGGATCTTTTGTTTTAATGATCTGGAATTTATTTTTTGTTTTGTTTTAATGACATATGAGAAAACACTCCGGAAGTATTTCATATGATTAACATTTCTTTCACAATCATACAATCATAGAATCTTGAGTTGGAAAGGATGTTAGAGATCATCTAGTGCCAACTCCTCTGCCATGGGAGTGTCATATGCAATTTTATTGTCCATATGCAATTTTACTGCTGATCAGGTTCTAATGGTTTGATTATATAATTACTTAGCAGTTTTGAAAACTGTCTCCATGTCCAAAGGTCTGACTGAATTTACATATGAAGCGTTGTAGAACTGCCTTTGAAAATCTTGGCTCTTGCAGCTTTAAAACTCAAGTGGAAATTGTTTTACAGCTCTTGCTAGATGCATAGTACTTCAATTTTTGCTAGAATATTGTCTGTCATAGCACTTGACAATTAAGGTTCCTTTATTTGTTGAACTGTTAAATTAAAATTGATGCATTCATATATTTAAAAAACCCTTACAGAATCATTGCACTTTTGTCAAGGAAATCATAGTTTGATAGAATTGTCTTTTTTGGAATTAGTGACTGTTCATCACTATTATCTCTCTTTAACAGAGACAAAATTTGATTAAGTTGAAGGAGATTTGGGAGCACTTGCATTTTTCAGAGAGATACTCACTCCTATTTAGTTCAAGAAAATGAATAAGTGTTGTTTGTCCATCCAGGCCTTAGGTAAAGAGTTAATAGTAAGCTCTATAAATCCCTGATGAATATGATACTTATACAGATTCAGAGACCTTTCTGTCTGTGATCATAAAACCTGGTGATGTGATGCAGAAGGAATGCATACTCTTACTGACTTTTTTTTCAGACTTAGTCTCTACAAAATCCAGTAGTAAAATTGCTACAGTTGGTTGATTGTTTGATTTTTTTTTAAATCCTCAAATAAAAATGCAAAAAATAAATCTGTGGGAGGCATCTCCTCCAAACTGGTTTTGTTCAGCTTTGCTTAATGCACTGCTTTTTTTGTTCTAAGGTGAAGAAAAGCCAGTGGTAGGCTTTCAAATGAATTAAAAATAAAACTATTGTTCTTATTTAACATCTGGTTTATTTGTAAACAGCTAAATATGCTTACATTTGCCATCTTTTCTCTGTTAAGTAAAATCCTCATCACATCCTTGTTTTACTTAACAAGGCAGGCCTGGACTAAGTAAAAGCAAACACATGAAAACTCTGATCTTCCAGTAATCTATATGATGGAGACTTAAAGCTGAAGTTGCTCTACTTATATTTACTAACCTTTAATGGATTCTTTTCTCTCTCACATTTGGCCTACAGCTTCTAAATATACCACCTTCTAATTTATTCACATTGTCAGTTTTCTTTCTCCATGGTGTGAAAGAGAATATCAAATGAAAATATCTCATGCAAGGTTCAGGACAGACAGGCTGTCTGTCCTGAACCTTGCATGTGGTATTTTCATTTGAAACCTTCTTGTGTTAGAAGTGAAGCTTTAGTGTTTTGTACCTTATTCATCCTATTGCTATTCCTGATTTTCTAGTCTTGTATCTGGCTTGCAGGCCGTGCAGATATAGTCAATATAGATATTTCTTACACCAAAGTTGTTTCACATTTCAAATCATCTTACTTGTTTTTCTCCTATCCCTTTTTCATTTATTTTTATATCTCTTTTTAATTTGGGAAGAACAGAACTGCATGCAGTGTTCACTGTAGTGTGCCTCACGATAATAAACTGTGATTTATGAAGTTGTTCTGTCCTCCCTTCCTTTCCTAGTAATTTCTAGCCTTCTGTTTACTTTCTAAACTTATCTGATGTTTTTATAGTATTTTTCTAACCTCAACTTCTTGTTTATGAATTATGTCAGCCTATCTATTTATGAGTATGTTGAACAGCACAGACCCCAAGGATGCTTTCTTTTTGAAAGAAAATTTCTAGATGAGGAGCTATAAAATTTGGAATGTGAGAAAGTTAACAAATGCTTTAATTTCTGTGAACCATGTGGGCTTGTTCATGTGATTATATATACATGTTTCACAGGGCAGTTTAATTCAAAACCCTTAAATTGATACAAAACCTACAACAAATACAACATACAACAAAAATATCTGTTACAGATAGAGCATGCCTGCTATTGAGTATTGCAAGGAAGTTACCAGTGAGAGTATCTCTACAATGACAATTTGCCAGAATAGGTCTTGTGTTTCTCGGAATAGCAAGAATCTCCCTGCCTCTCCTTATCAGGAACTGTTTAGTGGTAGGAAAGATCGGTATTGCTAAATGAAAAATGGGAACAGCAATGCGCTTGAGAGTTTTGGCTTAGAATTAGTTTAGTGGATGGGACAATGTAGATAGGTTAAGTAATAGGGGTGATGAGAGAAGTTATTGAACTCCCTTTATCTGAATAGATTAATGGAATAGAATCACAAAGCCCACTAGATTTTGAATGAATTAAACATAAAATGCCTAATCTCCAAATACTAATTCAGTGTTGAATTCATAATTCAAGAAAGAGGAAAAGAGATTGAAAGATTCTCCCTGTTTCTTTGAGGTGGAAAGGGAACAACATTTATATGAAAGCATGTTGTATGTGAGATGAAAATGCTGCCAGCAATGCAAGTATTTTTGGTTTGTTTTGGTTTTGTTTCAAATGTTTCCTCTTCCCTATTTCTTGAATGGCTTACATCTTTATTCTCTGTAGATACTTCTTTTGCATTTCAGGCTGGGACTAGTGTAGCTTTTACCTATTGCATGAGAACTCCAGTGTAAGCCACATCATAAGCTGTCTTCTCATATCTCAATTCCTTGTGTGCTTTCCTTATTACTTGGTTGTCCTCCCTTGCCTCCACTTGATGATGGATTTAAGTTTTTGACTCAGTCTCAAAATGCCTGTTACTCCTCCACTTAGATCCAGACTTAACCTTCCCTTTATGGTTGGAGTCCACATGGGCTTTATCATTGTATTTTTCTTGTAACCTTTCCACAAAGGGAAAATTTGTTCCACTGCAAAGGTCTTATGTTGTTTGAATTGGTATGGCTGACTTGATAATATCCTAAGTTCAGGGTCATACAGTGCAAAGCACATTGCAGAAATGTGCAGTAATGACAATAATGGTTTCTGTTGTGGTTTATTTCAGCCTTTTGACAGTAGGTCTCCCACATTAGAATCTGAGGTCGTAATTATCTCTCCTTTTCATACTTATGTTTATCTACTTAAATGGCATTCTTTATTGCTGTATAAACTCATCTTATAATGGGAACTTTCTTGAGTTTTTTTAATATAATTATGAAGATCACAGGCTCCGTAATAGGATGATGTTTAATTAAAATAATTGGTGACTTTAAGCAAAATATTCTAGATAGTTTCTGAAAGCTACTTCTGTGATCTGTCTGACCCACCAACATCATTAATTGCATTGACTAATTATTAATTATAGACAAATGGTCTGCTAGAGGTTGGGGACATATTTGAAGTTTTGGGCAATAAAGAAATATTTATTTGTTCCCAATAACTGACTTCCTTTTGTTGGGCTGAGGCAGCAGTACGTGTCACTAGTCTAGATTTCTGTGTGAGCCCAACTGATCTGAATTTTAGGAAGGGGTGCACTATTCCTGACACTATACTTTAAAAAATAGTTTTTCTGTCCAACTACTGGTGTAAGGCTCCTGAAGAAGTCTTAATCAAGACTCAGTGCTGCCTGAGTCTATCAAAAGCATCTGCTGTTGACTGAAGTGTACATCATACTTAAGTTCAAGGGAAGGAGTTGATGATGTTCTTGTGTGTCTCTAGGAATCCGGAAAGACCGCAGAGGTGGGCGAGTGATGAAACAAAAACGCCAAAGAGAGGAGCAGGATTCCAGGAATGGGGAGGCTTCTTCAACAGAGCTGCGAGCTCCCACCCTTTGGACAAGTCCACTGGTGGTTAAACATAACAAGAAGAACAGCCCAGCCCTGTCCCTGACAGCAGAACAGATGGTCAGTGCCTTGCTGGAAGCTGAGCCACCCCTGGTTTATTCTGAATATGACCCAAACAGACCATTCAATGAAGCCTCTATGATGACCCTGTTGACCAACCTTGCAGACAGAGAATTGGTGCACATGATCAACTGGGCAAAGAGAGTTCCAGGTAAGGAAAAAAAACCCCATGTAAACTATAAAACCTGTAGATCACAAACCAAAAAAAAAACAAAAAAAACAAAAAAAAAAAAAAACCAACAAACCCACATACTGATTTTCTGACTAACTATTCTCATTTAATTGAAATTGTTCATTTAAGTATACATACATTGACAAAATTTACAACATTAAACAAAGTTTATGTTATATTGGTCAATAAAATGCTATTGTGCAATGTAAGTGACTTTTGAGGAAAGATTTTTTCAAGAAAAGGTATCTTCCCCACTCTATAGGATGCTGGGCAGTTTTTTGTTTACAAATCCTTCTTTTTTTCCATACAAAACTCAACAAAATTAAAGGTTGAAAGAGATTATTGGTCAAATCCAGTCAATTTGACCTAATCAAATTATGTTAAATATTTTGATCTCCTTAGAAAAGGGTTACTCTCAGATATGTAATGTAAGCCATAAGTTCAGTATTACTACTAAGCCTGTAAGTATTACTAAGATTTATTTAGTTGCTGGGTTATAGTTTTGACTGTGAATTACAGATCTTTCATGAATTTTGGGTTTGAAAAACAAATCCAGAATAAAAGTTTTAGTATGAAATTTTTTTTGTGCACTGTGATTCCCTCTTTTCCCAAAAGGAATTAGAGAATTGTGGGAAGTATGTAACATTTTTCTTTGAGTGTATGTTATATATTCATTCATGTAGTTCAGTTAATCAATATAAATGAAATGAGAGAGTAGTTTTGTTGTTAAAGTTCATCACCTTTCACAGTTTCAGTGTACACAAATACTCTTCATAAGATTTAAAATTTTGTAAGACATTTATTGCACATGTCATAGTTTTATCTTGGTAAAAATACTGGCATACATGGTACTTTATACTTCATAATTCATTGGAGTTCTGATCTTTTAAGTTTTTTACTGTAGCCATTTATTTAATTAAAATTACGTAGATGCTTTAGGAAGGGATGCTAGAGACGACTAACACAGCTTTCACTCACATAGTGCATTAACTCAAAAGAATTACACCCAGGTTATGCCATTTTTCTGTTTTCCTTCATTTAAGCTTGGCAAGACTGTTCCTGGTAAATCAATAACCATGTCTTTTCCAGTCCTTAAGGGTTCCCTTTCAGCCACTTTTCACATGTCACTTTGTGGGCTCCAGCTGTGATCAATGAGAACCTGTGTGTGTTTCATTTCTCATCGTATCTTATAAGAAATCACTTGAGAATTTTATTCTTGACAAAGTCACGGTGGTTGAAGCCTGATCCACAGTCTGTTCAAGTCAAGGGCAGTTCTGTTAATTTAGGTATGTTTTGCATCATGCCATTACAAAAATGCTTTTGAAAAATGAACCTATGTACATAGTATTAAAGCTATTCACTATCAAAACAGATAAATTCAAATTACCTTTCTATGGATTTTTAGAGATATAATTACTCTGAGTCTGTTAAAACAAATTAATTTAAATTCAAGATACCACAATCTAAATTCATGATGTTGTCCAACTGGAAACATTTGGTTTCCATGACTTTTGATTTTGAGAGTATTAATGGAAATGTGTTTAGAAATTAAGTAACATTGTCAGAGAACCAAGATCTGCTTTTTATTCAGAAATATCTCTAGAACTGCCTGTTACAAGATGATTAAAACTAGATTAAAAAATTACCTGGTTTACCAACTATAAACTTCAAATTTTAAGAAAGCATCTGACACTGGAAAATCAAATGTGTAAGGTTATCAACTCTTTGTGTATAGTCAATGTATTTTGCATTTAAATTTACATTAACTCTCAAAATAGCTCCTAAGGAGAAACCAAGCCCAGTGGCTTGATCATGTTTATCCATTAATAAGTACTCTAGCAGGTGAGATTTTCTACAGAACTGTTGAACTTTGGCTAGAATTAAATAACAAAAATCCTTTTCTGTTCATGGTTTGATCTATTAGGCACTATACAAACAATTATACCAAAGGGAAACAACAATTATACCTAAAGCAGGACAGAGAGAAAAAGTTTGGGCATTCTGAAAGTGCTGGACACCTAGCTGGTTCTTGATGCTGTGGCCTGGAGAACAGTATGCATGAACAAAAGCAGAAATTAAAGTGCTTTAGAAAGTTGATTTAAAAGAATTCAAGTCAGGTTGTTTACCCAACTCTACAACTGGGGTCTCTGAGAATAAGAAATTTAGACCTATGTGCTTAAATATATATTTTTTAATCTCTTGGTCTCTAGGAAATGTTGTGTGCAAATAGTTGCTGATATTAAATTTCAGAAGCACTGGTCACTTTTCAAAGATTGGGTCTTTGCTTGCCAAAGTTTTCTTCTGCTGGAACACATTGGGAATACATATGCATTAATGGAAATGTGTCAAACAATTTAAATTGCATTTTCACCCCCACAGCATGTTGCCATTGACTACTCCATTAGAGAGAATTTTTGTATACATTATTCATGAATGGGGGAACTGAATAATTTTTTAAAGTATTTGGTGCAACAGGATTGTGGAAATCCATTCAGTTGTTTTTTCAGCTAATTTACTAGGGTTTCAAGCTTCAGGATCAAGGGTAAGAATATCCTTTTTTCCTAAAAAGTGAGTGTCCTTTTTAGAAATAGAAAAAAATCAGTTGCAGGAAATGGCTTCCCTATGCACACTTCTCAAGCCTTGGAAACATTGTGCAAGTTCATTTACCTACATGCAGGATGTAGGCAAGCAAGGAGTAAAGTCTATATGAGTGGCTGAGTTGAAATCCTATTTCATGGTGATCACAGAATCACAGGATATGCTGTGTTGGAAAGGACCCACAAGGGTCCAAGACCTGGCCCTGTTCAGCACCATCCCTAAGAGTCACACCATATTTCTGAGAGCACTGTCCAAATGGTTGTTGAACTCTGTCAGGCTGGTGCTGTGACTACTTCCCTGGGGAGCCTGTTCCACTGCCCAACCACCCTCTGGGTGAAGAACCTTTTTCTAATACCAACCTAAACCTTCTGTGACATAATTTCAGGCCATTTGCTTGGGCCCTGTCACCACAAGGAGAGATCAGTATTTGCCCCTCCTCTGGCATCACGAAGAAGTTACAGACTGCAGTGAGGTCTCCCCTCAGTCTTAGGCTGAACTGACCAAGTGACTCAGCTGCTCCTCATGCAGCTTCTCTTCTTGGCCCTTTCACCATCCTCATGGCTTCCTTTGCATGCTCTCTAGTAGTTTAACGTTGTTATGTTGTGGTGCCCAGAACTGCCCCCAGCACTGGAGGTGAGCCGGCCCCAGCTCAGAGCAGAGCAGGACAATCCCTCCCTTGCCTGGCTGGCCATGCTGTGCCCGATGCCCCTCAGGACAGGGCTGGCTCTCCTGGCTGCCAGGGCACTGCTGGCTCATGTTCAACTTGCCACTGACCAGGACCCCGAGTTGCCTTTCAGTGGCTCTGCTTTCCAGCATCTCACTCCTCAGTCTGTCTGTACATCCAGGGTTGCCCTGTCCCAGGTGCAGAATCCAGCACTTTCCCAGGTTAAAATTCTTATGACTGGTGATTGCCCAGCCCTCTAATTTATTGAGGTCTCTCTACAGGGCCTCCCTGCCCTCAAGGGAGTCAGCAGCTCCTCCCAGTTTTTTATCGGCTGTGAACTTGGTCAGTATCCCTTCCAGTCCTGTCCCCAAGTAATTGATGAAGATGTAGAAGAGCACAGGGCAGAGGATGGAGCCCTGTGGAACCCCACCAGTGACAGGTCACCAGCCATATATCACTCCCTTCACTGTAACCCTTTGTGCCCAACCCAGGAGCCAGGTGCTCAGCCATTGCATGATGTTACAAGGTAATTTAAACAATTCCTTTGTACAACCCCTGAATACAAACACATACACTTTAGCCTATGCCTCAACCCCAAAACTAGATTGGTTAGTGAAGCCTGAATACTTTTTTTGAAGAGTATAACAATATTTTTATTTTTGAATGTTAATCAATGCAAAGAACTTCTAGTGATAAAAGTAGTCACTCATCTTTGAACTAAAGTATGAAAACAGCTTTGTGCTGGATATTATGTCCAGAAGCATACTGTGAGAGAGTATGGAAGCTTTACTGAAATCCAAAAAGACTAAATTTTTTTTTAGGAAGGAAGAAATTTATATCAACAGAGCAGAAAGCAATGAAGATACAGCTTACAAAATAGAGTAAAGATTTTCAGGGATATTTCTGGAGTTTATTTTGCTGTCTAGGCTCTAAAGAATTGTTTTTAGTTAGCCAGTCTTTCTGATCCTATAGGTGGGCATGGAAGAAGAAGCAGCTAATTAGATGTATTGGATAAAAGTGAAACTATTCTACAAAATGGAGTAATACAATGTAATTTGTGATAGATTGTGTAAAATAATGTAGGCAGAGATCTGTTACTAAGAAATGCTGAAATCTTCAAAATGAGATGAATATTCTTGCAGGCATGCCCTGATGGGGAAGGTCAGAACTAGTCTCAATCTTTATTGCAGCTAATTCAGCATCAGGTAAAACTTGTTTAAACTGGCTCTGCAAAATTGGTGGTGTTAACCAGTTTCTGGGGAAAAGAGAACTTGTGTCAGCTTCTTATGCATAACCTCAGAAAATATCTTTAGTACCCAGATATAACATGATTTTTGACTGGGGCCAGAACAAAGTTCCCCTATGACAATACAAGTCATAGTATGCCAAGTACATAAAAGCTTGTTTTAATTTTTTTTTTTCAAAACCTTGGCCCCTAATACAAGTGAGTTTGCCCGATTAAATGAACAAAAATCTTGTACAGTGCCCTATGACATAAACAAAAAATTCAGGATTTATTCTTTAGGTGGCCTAACGGGGATTTAGGCTGCAGTCCTTCCAGGTGGCCTCTGTAAGATACTGAAGGTGCCTTTTGATTGTCCCAGCCAGTTAGAATAGCAGGCAGCTGCATGTGAGGTGGGTGCAAACAGATTGTGGTGGGCTAGACTTTACATATAAATTGAGCCTTTTACCATTGAATTTAATTTAATTGGGACAA